CCGTGCCGTGGGCGCCGCCGCTGTGGAACTCCACGCGGAGACACCCGTCCAGCTTCCCCAGCGTCTTGATGAGCACCCTGGGGCTCCTTCGGTCCCGGCGGGGGGCCCGGGGCGGTGGCCGTGGGCGCCGCCGCTGTGGAACTCCACGCGGAGACACCCGTCCAGCTTCCCCAGCGTCTTGATGAGCACCCTGGGGCTCCTTCGGTCCTCGCCCGGCGGGGTGGACGCCGCGCTCTCGTTTCTCCCGTAGCAGTTGAGGAGGTGTCCATTGCAGTCCTTCGAGGCCACGTGGTTCTCCGCCCGGTCCTGGGCGACGTAGTGGAAACCGTTCTCGGGTAAGAAAGCAGCGTGGTTGCCCTGGAAATCGCTCCCTGAGCCATTTGTCCTGTGCTTGGAGTAGGCGTTGCCTTTGGAGACTTTGCAGGCGGGTCCACCGAGTCTCGAGGCGTAAGGCTGATTACTCTTAAAGTGAGAAAGGCAGCTTCGGGCCAGGGACCTGGATTTGTAACCTGCTCCGCTGCTTGCGTGACCCCATCCATGCAACGACTTGTCGTCTTTTGCGTGAATGCTGCGTATTTTCAGGGAGCAAGGCTTTTGCTTAGCACCAGGAATAGTATTGCTATGATTTTTAGATCCTTGAAATGTGTACTGACTCTCGGAGTTCCCCATTTTAACCTAAATGAAGGACAGTAGCATCAGTAAGAGCCGTGACCTACATCGCATTCCATGACGACAGAATTTTCTATTTTACAAAAAAAATCTTCATATCACAAGGGGACTGAGCAACTTCTTTCTGTGCCTGACATAAGTCAGAGAAGCAGGAACGAAAGTTACTGAATTGGTTCTCCTCATTGTGTAAGCAAGTCATTAGCCAGGTTAAAAAAAAAAAAAATACTGCATGCTCATATACTGGTTACTTTAAACACAAAATTTATAGTATGAAGTTAATTCAGAAATTGAACTGGCATAAAAATCGGCCTAGGCAGAGGCCTTTTTTAGCCTTGGTGCTGAGAGATTTTTGAATGAATGATTCTCGAAGGAAAAAAATGAGAAAATATCTTTACTCTCTCCTACACCGATTTTTCAATGACCAGAGAGAGATTTTCATTACACATAAACTCCTGAAGAGCAAATACCGCACAATATGAGAGATCACTGCTCAAAAAACTGCCACATTTATAATAACATGGCTCCAGGTACCATACTGGCGGAGTTTTCATACGTCACACAGAGTAGGAATGTTACAAAAGGATTCAGAAGTCCCCAAGAAGTACCCCCTAGACTGAGACTGAAGAGGGGGAAGAGAAATCAAAGTTCTCACTTGGGGCAAAAAAACTATGTAATAAAACTCGTTAATAGAGCTTTTATAAAGACTTTAAGAGTCCTCACTTTAGAACATGATGAGAGAAAAAACTTTAAAGCTGACTTGCAAGTATCCAAAAAAACCTGTTAGATTCTTTTCATTCCCGTTAAAACCCCAATCTGCTTAGTGAGTCTATTAGTCAAGCCAAACTCAAAGTGAATTTGATCCAAACCTTCCCCTCAATTTTAGTAAAGTTGGAGGTGATGCTTCTGAACATACTTAATAGGACTTTAATTTTAATTCTTTTATACTTAAGAATGGATAGCCATAAAACAGAAGTCAAACAGATTGACTTTTCTTTGGTGGCAGTTATCAAACACATTTTAAAACAAAAATAACTGGACCACAAATGAAACCTTTATTTATTACCTTCATCACAGTCATGCAACCTGACAGAGAACCACCACTCACGTAAGTTGGATTTACCTGCAGTCTAGTTTGTGCTGATGGAGATTAATGCTCAGCCGGCTTTACGTGGTCCTGGGAGCAAGGCAGCATGGTTGACAAGTGTGGAAAGTGAGTCCATGAAATGGCTCTGAAACACAGAAATGTGAGAAACTCTTGAGCATTTTCTATCAAGTTCCCCCCCCAAAAAAACACAAACAAACGTTGAATGTAAATCATCTGAAGAAACAACTGGTATCCAGAATCACTGCCAAAATAGTAAATGAAATGTCTGTGAACTGCCTGACTCATTGGGGTTGTTTGGAAGAAGTAAAAAAAAAAAGAAAAAGAAAAAAAAAAGCCAGAACTGCCCCAGCCAATCTCGTAAAGGCCATTAACTCAACACACAGCCTGGAGTCAAATGCATGCCTTTGTTTCAGGGGCGAGCAGGTGAAAGCACAGGAATGAGTCACGGCTCCTCTGTCACCACCACTAGGAAAACAACTCTCAGACTCACCGCACTGCCAACAGAGCAGGAGCGTCATCCTGACATGACAAGAGCAGCTCATTGTTCTCTACTTGACTAAGCAGTAAAAAAAAAAAAAAAAAAAAAAAAAAAAACAAAAAAAAAAAAAAGGCCGAAAAACAGTAAAATAGTCCTTGACTAAAATAACTTATGTTACCGAAGTTAACCCATAAATGAGATTAAAAGTTTTCCTCAAGCACGTGTTTGAGCCTCACCGTACAGAGAGTAGGGGCAGGAGACCACCTTTAAGGGGAAGGGGACGGGCTGGGGAGTGCAAAGCCTTTATTTTCTTTGCAGACCCATAGAGACCAGAGCGGTAAGGGTTCAATAGTGACCTTTTTTCTCTTAAAAAAAAAATAATTATGAACAACTATATATGTGCCAACAAACCTAGAAGAAATTGAAAAATTCTTAGAAACATAACTTACTAAGACTGAATCAGAAAGAAATAGAAAAGCTAAATAAATTAATTACGAGTAAAGAGATTGAATCAGTCATCAAAATCTTCCACCAAAAAAAGCCCGAAACCAGATGGCTGCACTAGTGAATTTTACCAAACATTTAAAGAAGAATGAATACCAATCCTTCTCACATTCTTCCCGAAAAAAGTAAAGAGAATAGAACACTCCCAAACTCATTTTACAAGGCCAGCATTATCCTGATACCATAACCAGAAAGAGACCATTACTAGAAAAGAAACTACAGGCCAATTTCCCTGATGACTACAGATGTAAAAATCCTCAATAAAATGCTAGCAAGTCAAATTCATCAGCACATTAAAAGGATTACATACCCCGACCACGTAGAATTTACCCCTGGGATGCAAGGATGACTCAACATACACGAATCGATGTCATATATCATATTAATAGAATGAAAGAAAAGAATCATATGACCATCTCAATAGCTACAAAAACAGCATTTGACAAAATTCAACATCCATGCGTGATAAAAACTCTTAACAAATTAGACATAGAAGGAACATATCTCGACATGATAAAGGCCTTCTATGACAAGCCCACAGCTAATATCAAACTCAATGGTGAAAGACTGAAAGCTTTTCCTCCAAGATCAGGAATAAAAAGGGTGCCACTCTCACCACTTCTACTCGACATAGTACTGTAAGTCCTAGCCAGAGCAATCAGGCAAGAAAAAGAGAAAATGTATCAGAATTTGAAAGGAAGAAGTAAAGCTGTCTCTATTCATAGATGACGTGATTTTATATATAGAAAATCCTAAAGACTTAACCAAAAAAAATCTGTTAGATTTAATTGACAAATTCGGTAAAGTTGCAGGATACAAAATTAACACGCAAAAATCAGTAGCATTTCTATACACTAACAAATTCTCTGAGAAAACACATTCCATGCACGATAGCATCAAAAACGATAGAATACACAGTAATAAATTAACTAAGTATAAGATCTCTACTCTGAAAACTACAAGCATTGATGAAAAAAATCAACTAAGACACCAAAAAATGGAACGGTAGCCAATGTTTACGGATTGAAAGAATATTGTTAAAATGCCATTACTACCAAAAGCTATCTATAGATTCAATGCAATCCCTATCAAGATTCCAGTGGCACTTTTTATAAAAATAGGAAAACACTCCTAAAATTTATGTGGAACCACAAAAGATACCTAATAGCCAAAGAAATTCTGAGAAAGAACAAAAAGAGAGGCATTATACTTCCTGGTTTCAAGCTATAGTATAAAACTATGGTAATCAAAACAGTTCAAAAAACTATGGCATAAAAGCAGACAGACCAATGGAACTGAATCGAGTCCAGAAATAAACCCAAGCATGTAAGGTCAACTAATATTTGACAACTGGATATTCACATATAAAAGAAATAAAACGGACCCGTATCTCATACCACTCACAAAAATTAACTAAAAGTGGATTAAAGATTTAAATGTTATGACCTGGAATCATGAAACTCCTAGAAGAAAATATAGGAATAAAGCTCCTTGACATGGGTCTTGGTAATGATTTTTTGGATATGACACCTAAAGCACAAGCAACAAAATGAAAAATAAACAAGTGGGACTACCTCAAACTAAAAAAACTTTTGCACAGCAAAAGAAATCATCAACAAAGTTAAAAGACAACCTACGGAAGGAGAAAAATATTTGTAAACCATATATCAAATAAGGGGTTAATATCCAAAATATACGAAGAACTCATACTGAGTTGTATAACTACTGAGTTATAGCAAAAACAAAAACAAAAAAACAAAAAAACAAATTACCCAGTTTAAAATGAACAAAGGACTCAAATAGACATTTCTCCAAAGAAGACATACAAAAAGCCAACAGGTACATATGAAGATGTTCCACATCACTCAGCATCAGGGAAATGCAAATTAAAACCACAATGAGACATCACCTCATGTTTGTGCTGGGAGGGATGTGGTAAGAAGGGAACACTTTGCACTGCTGGTGGGATTGCAAATTGGTACAGCCACTATGGAAAACGGTATGGAGGCTTCTCGCAAAATTGACAATAGAAACTCCATATGATCCAGCAATTCCATTTCTGGGAATATAGCCAAACGAAATGAAATCACCAACTGGAAAGACATCTACACTCCCATGTTCACAGCAGCTTTATTTAAGATAGCCAAGACATGGAAAGAACCTGTGTCTGTTAGTGGATGAATGGATAATGGATAAAGAAGTTATAGTGTATACACATACACACACATGCACACACACACACACGTATATACATAAAAGTTCAATAGTGACTTTTAAAGTTAATGTGTATGCATGTATGTATGTATGTATGTCTGTGTGTGTGTACAGTATACAGCCATTAAATGAAAGGAAATCCTGCCATTTGCGACAACACAAATAGACCTCAAAAGCATTATGCTAAGTGAAATAAGCCAGAGATAAACAAATACTTATGCTCTCACTTACACGTGACTCTAAAACAGAAAACCAAACTCATAGAAAAAGAGATCAGACTTGTTAGCAGAGGTAGGGGATAGGGGAGGGGATTTCGGAATTTGGT